GACTTCATATGTCATCATTACGAAGAATTGTGGAAAGTTTCATTAAAATCCAAGATTTTCAATGTGCCACCTTTTGCATGATTCTTACTGAGACCACTACTTAAATGTTCAAATGGTACCAGACAACACACAGTGTATGCCGATGAAAAAAAGTATATACCTACTTACTGGCTATGAGGACAATAGCATGTTTATCGTTCCCAAATTAAGACAGCAAATATTTCCCTAGGTGCAGCCGAAGGAAAAATTGCTGTCGAGGGGGACGATATACATTCTATTGTCCGAATAGCCAGTAATAGGGGTCTGAATCTGACTTTATTTATGTTACGTCACAATCTAGATTGCGCTGCCCCTTGCTGCAACTTTTCCGGAAATACGGAAACTATGTATCATAGGTTTTATCTTTTACTTTGTCATGCGTTTATAATACGATGTTTACATAGCATTTCGTCTGACCGTTAGAGGAAGGAATATCACAAGCCAAGCACTCCTTCCCCAAAATGATAAAAATATAGCCCCCAATTATTTAATAATAGCAGACGTTCATATAGAGTCAAAAATTAAACGGTTTAGCAAGAGCAATCTATCTTTATTTCTCAAGAGCGGTTCATATCATGAACATATATAAATCTAAAAAGGATTTTCAACTTAATAAAACACCTCCAACTTTTTAATAATATAAATTTGAAAAAAAATTCACTGTTTACAAAAATCATGTATCTGCTTTAACAGAAAACTCATAGGATTTTGAATTTCTAAACAACACTGCAAAGAAACAATTCATAATCATAATTAATAAAAGTGTATGTATTCAATCAACAGTTTCTTTTACAAGTTATATGAATGAATTATCTTCTTTAGAAACTTACCATGGAGAGAGATTCTGGTTCACCAGTAAAATAAATCCTATAATTCTTTATCATTTTTTTAAAAAAATCTTCTCAAAACAAGATGTTTAAATTTTGTAATAATGACTTTATTTTTTATTTCAAGACAACAAATCCATATTGACAAATGTTGTCAATAATAATTAAACTCCCGCTTGAAAAGCTGGAGAGTATATAGTAATCTGTATGTCCGTCCTTCTATAACGCTTTGAGGTACCCATCTCTTATCCGCATTCCCTCATACCACTGAATGAATTTGATGAAACTTGCAGAGAATCTTTATTTTATATTGCCACTGTGCACCTCCTATTTTATGTTTTGATCCTACACATACTTTGGGTTTCCCACAGCAAAACATAAACACTGCTCTTATATTCATATGGGTGGCAGGGGTATCATTAATTGAGCTTATTGCTCACAGTTCCTCTAATTTTTACATGAGTTTCCATTATTCTAAAAACTGCTTTTGGCAGTTCACCCGTTTCAAAATTCATATTACTTCAAAATTATTGACATAAGACTTAGACATTACATAAATAGATAACTATATATAATCCATTTTGAACCTAAAATACCTTACCTTCCAACTGATTAGAATCATTTTTTTTTAATCCAAACAATAATTTAATATTCTTACTATTAGTCTTTTTTATACAAATTTTATTTGAAAAAAATAAACAAACTTTGATCATAATTCTTATTACTTTTATAAATGTGATTGTGAATAATGTATTACATGTATAAGGTGAGAATAAATGACAGTACAATAGGTAATTCATAAGAAAATCATTTGAATTTAAAACTAAAACTACAATAATAATAAAATATCACATAAAACAACAGTAGATAAATAAATACAAAAAAATGGAATACATTATGTTAACACTTAAGCTGAAGAATATATTGTCATTCCGCAGAGATCAATCCAATTTTTGAAACAATATTTCAAATTCTGGATAAAGAATCATATTCTTCATTAAAAAATAATTTTATCTCATTCTGAGTCCAGCATATACCTTGCTGTCATCAATAATTCTAAAGTCAGGCGAGAAAAAAAATTAATTTAATACAAAGGGGACATTCTAAAAACTTATTCAAAATGAAACATCAATAGACTGATCGGGGATTACATTTGAACATAAAAGGAAACTAATTCCAAATGCGGACATGAAAAAGTTCTATTGATTAACAATAATTGGAACAACAATTTTGGAATGAAAAAATCGATATTTCTAAAGTAGTTGCTATTGATTGTTTTTTATTCAGGGTACTGGATAACATATTATGGAAGATCGATTAGATCATTTCATATTACTGAACCAGTGATTTTTTTTACTGTGACTTTCAGAGATAAAGGCGGTTTCTTCTTCTTCCTTCTTGGTACTTTTTGTCCGGGAGTGATCTTGTAAACTGAATAGAACATCATTTTAAAAAGCTCTGGGTTATGGACATTTAAGGGTTTTTTCTTGAAAATGCTATCATATAATGGAATATTATAAATATTCATAACAGATAGATTTAAAAATTTGGATCCAAAGCTACAATGTAAGAACGGTATGCCTCGACAAAGCTGTCACTTTGAAAGAAATAAATACTGAAAATTTGGTTGGTAAACAATTGCATATCAATAATAGTTACTTAATTCTTTAAAGAAATGTTTAAATTCAATTTTTTAATGTAACCGTTGTCCTGTACACAGATATTTCTTGGGTACACCATTCTTTAACAAAAAAAAAATAATGGTTAGATTGATTGTATATACTTAAACGTCCCTCTCGAGAATTTTTCATTTATATAGGCTTCAAATTTTTACCTTTACTGGCCACTTAGGGCCATTAAGCAGTGAGGGGTCTTTATCGTGCAAACGCCTGCCGCTGACACGGGACCTCGGTTTTTGAGGTCTCACCCGAAGGACCCGCAACTTTCACTTCAAAGTGCCGAGCGCATGGCGAAAGATTAGTTGCTACCCATTTTATCGAGTAGGTCATCCGCGGCCGAGATGAAACTCATTTTTCTTCACACAGATACAAACTCACGATCTCCCGATCACGTAGCGAGCGCTCTACTGACCGAGCTACCGTGAACGGTATGACCCAATGAATATACCGGAAAAATCTAATTTTTACATAGAAATATTAAGGAAAAATCTCTAAAAATCCTCTTCTCAAGAATATCAAAGTCATGATTTACGCAGAAGCATTCTAAAGATCTATATTTGTTCAAACCAAGACCCCTGGAGATAGGATTGGACCATATTAAACATACAATCGGATGGGAAAAAAGCCACCGTTAGTCAAAAATATTTTATCATCTTAAGTTAGATTCAATGTTATTTTATGCATTACCATTCTGTTAAAATCGAAAATGGGGACCTCTTATTAAGAAGCTATTCAATGACAAAAGTGATTTTGATTTTTTTTTTCAGGTGAGCGTCATGACCTATGTGTCTCTTGTTTATTAGGAGTTGTATAATGTAAATTTGCGAAGGATGGATGGACTCTACACTAGCCTAATTCTACTTCAATTTTAAAATTTTAGACTTAATGACTTAATGGTTTCGAAAATATTTTACATGTTATAAAATGTGCACAACACATCCTGGGTAAAAAAAAAATCATAGAAATGGCGATTAATTAACCGGCTAATGCGTCACCTACAATTAATAAAGGTAAATAAAACTGATACAATTACAAAATTAGCTTAAATCTTTGATAAAAAACTTTCAATTTGAATTAATTTCATTCTAGACAAAAAATTGTCATCCACCTATGTTTTTGCACTAAGTTATTGTGTGACATTCATAGCTATCTGCATTTCTGAACTATGTATATAGTGTATATAAATTTCAACAAACCATAAAACATATGCAGATAACGGACATTTTTCAAGATAAAAAATTCATAAAACAAAATAAGAGCAGAGGAAACTCTGACTTATAAAACATCAGAGGTGAGATCACTTGCCAAGGAGTAGTGTGGAGGGGAAGCTGATGATTGAAATGTTGATGTCATCCCGTTAACCATAAAGATTGGGTTTTAGATTACATTTAACGTCTTTTTCAAGTAAATTGTCCGAGTATGAAAAAGATGTGTCAGAATCTGTGGTGTTTTATCTGGGTAATAATGGAGAGATCCGTGGAGAATTTAGTGTTCCAATAATCAGTATGAAAAGCGTAAGTCAGTTAATGATAAATTGTATATGCTGACAATCTCAGTATATCAATCATAGAGTTAATGATTTTTTATGGAGACTGCTGCTTTTGTTTCAGCAAATATTTCGTGTTTTAAAAGTGTTCATTCTTATAACTTTCTCTCGCGTTTTGAATCAATTGAGAGATTTAAATCCCGTATGCAAGAGTTAATGGTTTACTGCTGCATATGTAAGGAATGTTGACGGTTAATCATCACATTTAATCTAAAGTTTGGTTGTTAGATTACATTAAAATATTTAAATACGGGCCAGATTTGTCAGACTCTGTGGTATCTTGTTATCAAGCTAACCAAGATATATTATATCGACAGAAAAAAATGGTAATAATGCATCAGTTATAATACGGTGTCGATATTTTAAATGTTTTCTTTTTTTCACGATTTTTGACAAATTCTACTTGATATGAATACAGAAGTAGGTCTGATGATAATTTGGCACAAATGGTGGATGCACCCATGAGAATTCTTATATATTGTAGGAAGACTTAATATCAGATATAAGATATTAAGAATCAGAAACTCCAGCATTTTTTTGTCAATATCAACTTTAGAATACTTGTGTGTACAATCAGACTGTTTTTGACAAAATAATTTTGCTAATGACCAAGACAAGTAATATTTAATGAAAAAGCTGCAGTCAATGGTAAAAAAAAATCACACGACTGTCCTAACTATCAGCTTACCAACATATATTTCATTACAGATTTTCCCATATTATGATGTTTCGATAATAACTTTTTAAGTGCTTTGATAATATGCTGCTTTTACACAAGTTCAAACAAGCCCGCAATATTTTGAGAGGCCAATTCGCAGAAATATATTTTTAAAATCTTAATTAGTCTTGCCTGAACTCTCATATAAAAGGAATCATGTGTGGTAGAATTGCACAGAGTATCGATAACCACTAAGGTTCTACCTGGTTAACCGAAGGACGAAAACTAGATTTTCTGATTTTAAGAGGGAGATTTCTTTTCTTCTTACTCAGTTCCAAAAGCCTATGTAAGTAGTCATCTAATTACCAAGGCACTTTAATCAGACTTTAACCAATTGTGATTTCTATAAGTTAAAAGATCTTATTACATTTTGCTTGTTTTTTTTTAACTTTTCATCACCCTTTTATTTTACTAAGTTGACACTATTATGCTGTTCCAATATGCATGTATATAAATATATAAATTGTCCGAAATTCAATAACTACGGACCGGCAGTCAAATATAGATAATTGTACTAATTCTCTTTAAATTGTTCAGGAAATGAATATACAGAGAACATGCATGTAACCCAAATTTGATAGACTGCAAGATCTTTTTTTTATTTTGTAAAATGAAGGTACAGTAACAAGTAAAAATATGTAAATATTAAAAAAATATATTGTCATCAATATGTTTTTGCAATTTTTCATCTTTTTGGAAAACTAACTGTTAGCCCAGAATGACTATTTGAAGGACACATTCATCCCGTAATAAGATCCTTGGTTACGGAATGAATTTACAGTACACGGATACAATTCAAATGAAAATATACTCAAATACAAATAAGAAATTTTACAATGCAGATGGAAAAGTATAGAATGCAATCGAAAAATTATACAACATAAATGAAATCTTTAAATTGCAAATGAAAAAATATACAATACATATAATGATTAAGCAATGCAAGTTGGAAAGATCGATTATTGCCAAGTTTTCTCTTAGTACTATTTGACGAAAGTGATACCATCTAAAAAAAAAACCAGTTCTATTGAATTGCTTATGGATGCCCCCGTTTTAAAATAAACGATTCATAGATCGTTTGACTGAACAAGAGAGGGTTATTTCACCGCACCGTTTATTGAGAAATTTATTAAGAATTCAGGTATATCCTGTAAGAAACTTGGTCTCCTTTATGTGTTTTAACATGGGTATTTAAATTGACGCCTCCTTTCTACCTTATTTAAATTTCTTCCATTGACACAAATGAAGCTCGAAAAATATTCCTAAAAATATGCTTTCAATGTCTTGTTATTATCCATGATCTTTAAATCTACTACTTTATTTGGAAACCAATTATCATTTTCTTTTTAAAGTATCATCAAACGAATAGAACATTTTATCACCAAGTAAATCAACGGCATTCGAGGACGTTTTGCAGTGTTATTACTTGTACACATTTCAATTTTCAAACTTAAACATACTTAAATATTGCATTTTTTAATAGATGGATTTTAGGATAGGATTCTTCTCATATTTCACGTATTTAAAAATTCATGAAATTTTCACAGAAAAATGAAGACAATATCACTAATTGATGGTATTTGTTAAATTCAATTCGACTGTTTAAATAAGAGACAATGTCAGGTCAATGTCATTACTTTTTTCCCTGACATGAATAATAAATAATCATTGTTGCCAATTATCTGATCCCTACTTGAATTTCAGAAGATTGGATTTGTTGTCTTTTTGCAAAAAAAAAAAAAAAAAAAAAAAAAAAAAAAAACGATACTAACATTTGGGGCCTTAAAGATGATATTCCCAAATTTACATAAATAATCTAACTGAAATGGATATTGGCTAATCTGAATTTTTTCTCTCTTTTTAAATTTTTTTTAGGTTATATTAGTTATTTTATATGCTTCCTATGTTTAATTTTTTTTCATTTTCACATATTGTAAAGTTGTCACAAAGAGATACTAAATGAAACAAAAAAAAACCCGTTTTGATCGCTTACTAAGAGAGAAAAATACTTTTTTACGGATTTTCGGATCAAATCTGTACTCAGATTTGAAGCTTATAAGAGCTAACATATTTTTTTTCTTTTGTTTGAAAAGTCATATTTATTTGATATATTTAGGAACTTTAATCACCTATTTTTAATATCATTTACATTTAAAGAGTTTCTTCAAGTCTTTGATTGTTTCAAAGTTATTACTAATTTCACTATGTTTTATAAATAATTTCGAGATGAAGATATTTTCATACCCCACCATTCCGCCAGAAATATAGTACCTGCTAGATTTCGCAGTTTACCATTTCTATTTAACAGGTTGGACTCAGTTTCTTTTTTAGGGGAAGTATTACTATAAATTATTCATTTTTCGGTAATTAAAACATTGCTGTATTCGGGAATTTTTATTCGTTTATTCTCTATTCTCGTGTTTGCTCTGAATAAAATTTAAAGCGCATGAATGTTTTCATATACTCTAAATATTTATGTCTATTAAGTGTATTTTTGCTCAAAACGTAAATATTTATTGTTACAAAAAAATTGAAAAAAGAGTGCTGAAATATACACTGTATGTTTTTTCGGAAGCTTATCTGTGTTAAAATTGTAAGATTGAATAATTTCAACACTTGCTTACTCATTCATGAAATTATTCTTTCTAATTCAATTTGCTATTTATTTAAATGACATTGTAAAAATAAGTTTAAATAGCACTGTAATAATAATTTTAAATATTAAATTTCAACCGATATTCTTTCAAATATGGATTTAGAATGAATGTCCTTTTTAGATACTTTAGTTTTTCATACTTTTCGTATCATTCATCAACAGGGACAATGTATGTGGGACATACTAAACACGATTTGTTTAATTGTGAAACTCTCACTACTGAATTGAATATCCCCTTAGATTCCAAAAAATCCCCTGTTGTCCCCCTGTTAGTCCCTGACATTTTCCTGTCTCTCCCTGACTTTCTCCTATGATGCCCTGTCGTTGTCCCTGCTCTCCCTTTCCAGTCCCTGTCGTCCCCTGTCGTTGTCCCTGCCTTCCCTGTCTACTCCCTGTCGTCCCCTGACATTCTCTGATGTCCCTGTCCAGTCCCTGTCGTCCCCTGTCGTTGTCCCTGCCTTCCCTGTCTACTCCCTGTCGTCCCCTGACATTTATTTTGGCCAAGAAAAGGAGTTTAAAATATATTTTTGTTGCATTTAAGAGTGAAAAATGATATAGTCTTGAAAACTTAATTTATTTATCTATTTATTTATTTTTTGAAAATATAGACTTAGTAAAAAGTTAACACATTTTTTAAATGCCTTAACTTAATCCCCTGTAATTGATGTGATTTTTTTTAGTTTGGTAGCATTTCGGGGAGAGAACGACAGAGAATTGCATCAATTCTTAAGAAGAAATAAATTACCAGTTTATTTCATCTTGTGATGCTAGACGGCATATACATGGAACTTTTTGAACCTTATATATATATTTATCAACTTTTTTATTTTTAATTTGATCTAATTTGAAATATTTTTAAGTGTAATAGCTGTCTTTGTAAAAGAACTAGATTTAAACATTTGGGAATGCATTATCAAATCCATGCATGGGATATTTTGTTTTTCCAAAGAATTAAATGAATAAAAATTAATTGAAAAGAATGATATATAAATGCAATAATAAAATAAATGTCTATTTAATAAATAAAGATTATTAAATAAACTAAAACTCTATTTTATTCATTTATTTTCTTATGTCAATAAATCCACAAATCAACTGAATTAAAAATGAATAAATAAATAAATAAATAAATAAATCGATAAATAAATAAACAAATAAATTAATTAATAATGAGAATCATATAAGTTTATTCATTTATTTCTTTATTTTTTAATTTATCACTCATTTATATCCCCAAAATTTTATTTATTAGTTTTATTTTATTTATTTCCGGAAATATGCTACAAAGTATTTTATTTGCGTATTAAAACGACTTTTTATTACTTTAAGTCCATGATGGATATCAAAATAATCGTCTCATTATGCACAATATTGATCTATCAATTAGATTTTTGGTACTTTGTGTTGATTTAAAAATCGGTTTTTAAAACCCTAACAAGGTTCTAAAACAACATCAAAGCCATTGATGTTTACCAGTAATTAACTCGGGGTATACGGTCATGACACCTATTATCTTTTTCACTGACCGCTATACTTTGTTTATGTAGTGGCAGGACGACCGTGTACAGTTAACAACTGTTTGAAATAACATTTTCTTTTTGCATGAGAACTCAATTTTTTTTTCAATCAAAACGGAATAAAAGTATGAAAGAAGCTATTGACGGATAAAGATTGTGCATAATGAGCCGATTATTTTGATATCCATCAAGGAAGTAAAATAATTAAAAGCAGTTTTAATATGCTTCAAAAATACTTTGATACATATTTATCGTAAATCATTTTAAATAGAATATGCCGAACAAATCCAGTTTACGGGTATTTGATTATTTAATTTCTTTGTATCGTCAATTTTACAAATAAAAAAGATTGTTTTTATAATAAATAAATACATGCAGTTAATAAGTTTTTTTTTTGTTTAATTAGTATTTAAAATCAGTTATTATATTGATTTTAAAAACTTTATATTCCAAAATGCACCAATACCCCCTGCTGTCTTTTTTTTTTTTTTTTTTTTTTTCTTACAAATGGTACAAAGTACAAAACCAGTATTTAACGAATAAAACAGATTGAAGCGAAATAATTTCATTGTATTTAAATAAAAAAAATGAATAATTAAAAAAATTATAAATAAAATATCAATCTATTTATTTTTGAAATTGAAAATACAACAAATTAATGAATTATTTATATTTGCAAGAAATTGTGTTTCTTTAGTTTTATTTTATATAAACACTTGCATCCATAGATGTGCTACAAAGTATTTTATTAGCATATTAAAACTGCTTTTAATTATTTTACTTCCATGATGGATATCAAAATAATCGTCTCATTATGCACAATATTAATCTGTCAATCAGATTTTTGATACTTTGTTTTGATTAAAAAATCGGTTTTCAAAACCCTAACACAATTCTGAAAAAAAATCAAAGCCATTGATGTTTACCAGTAATTAACTTGGGGTACACAGTCATGACAGCTATTGTCTTTCTCGCTGACCGCTATACCTTGTTTATGTTGTGGCAGGACGACCGTGTACAGTTAACAACTATTTGAAATAACATTTTCTCTTTGCATGAGAACTCAATATTTTTTTCAATCAAAACGGAATAAAAGTATGAAAGAAGCTATTG